TGTATGCGATTTCATGAGTACGCCAGCCAAACAAGTTTGGGCAATGCGGTGATGTAGCTAACAAGTGAGATAGTGTCCTAGATGGTTTCCTAAAAATGGGTCCTTGGCTCGGACACGGAATAGTTCCGGGTCCAAAAAGCAAATTATCGGTTGCACAAACTAATGTTTGGTCCAAAGATTGCAGGAAGTTCGTTGGCTGATGTCAGTGCTCCCTCTGGAATGACAAATTCTACCTAATGAAAGCTGGAGACTGAAGTAGGGGAAGCATATCGACGACATTTGGTTACAGAGCAGCGAAGAAGTGACCAAAAGATAAGTACACTGGAGATGTTCCTGGCAGTTCGAGGAAATATACAGGACTGACGTGAGCGTCATAGGGTTCCTACGCTAGAGAATCACCCCTAGACCACTGTCCCAATAACCTTATCACCAACCACGCTACCTCACCATGTTTGGTAGATTTAGGCCTCCCATTCGGATTGTCGTTACTTAACGAAGTATCCCAAAGAGGTTTAATCAACCTCTGGATTACTTCCGCAGTGATATGCACTGCTGACGACTTTCTTGTGAGCAGTCGTGTTGAAAAGCACTTGATACTAGTTTTATGGATGAAAAACCCAGCCAATGTAGTCTGTAGTTTAATATGCCGGTCTTAGGTAGCTTCCCTATCCACCGATGAAAAACCTTCCAACGCAGCCCCCTACAAACCTTCACGATGTGCCTTTGTTGTGAGGTGAACTACGTTAAACAGTGACACCTAGTTAGCTCGCCATCGTCTGCTTGTGGCAGTTCAATGGAATAACTGCTGTATAAAGATATCCACATTTTGTTCAATGGATTTTTCATAGTATGGAGGTCATACACGTGTAATTTGTGCTCGTTTTATTCGTCACATGCCAGCGCTTTTAGATCATTAGCATACTTTATGAGCGTGCGTGACCACGAGAGCTCTAAACAACTGTCGTTCAGAAATTCAATCAATATCGTCGGTTTCGAAAACTATCATGGTGGTGAATCTGGAAGGGATGTGCTGAGTTAAAAACTGTCGCTGATAGAACGTTCCTGACACACAATGCTTTTCCCAGAACGACTTCCCTAATAAAGTCGCAGTCTACAGAACTTCAGTATAAATCCTATTGTGGTGAAGGTCACTAACTCAAACACAACACCAAATAATTTCCCAACGCCGGTGCTGTTCTCCTTCAATTCGCTGTATCCGGTGGTAACAATTGTAAGTAGCTTGACAGAATCAATAGACTGGCGCATGAAATGTTCTCAGAGAGATAAGGATTCCAGTTAATTTCTGCTAATAGAGGAACAGTGAGACGACTGTTTCACTACCAAAAACATTCTCATGTACAGTCAATAGACCGCAGTGGATTCCAGTTGTTAATTTGAAGTGAAAAAGGGGGTTTTCACTGCTGGCGTGTTCCATGACTGCAGGTCCAGGGGCATAACCTCACTCATTGCGGGTACGCTCCGTATACTTACACGCCATCAAATATGAGGATGCAAATAACTTATACTCACAAAATCCCGCGGCATTCTCCGCTGAGCGCGCTTGCCGGGGAGAACAAACCGATCCAGAGTCAAATGTACTTTGGGATTCTAGGAACACCAACATTGTGGGTCACGTATAAATGATCGGTTGTTCGGACATCAGAGACAGGATGAGGATATGTTCAACGGAATCTCCACCAGGCCGATAGCCCACTTGTTACTCTGGAGTCAGTGCTTCACAGGTCACCACAAAGTATCCAGGACAACGAGCACTGGTGTTCAAAGTTACCGGGCCCTTCTTTAGTGAAGGCGATGGGACTAGAGTGGACCTCGATGATTTCACTCACAGATAGTTTCTGGAGTAAGTTTCGGCATGCACTTGACTTTTGATAATAGATTGTTTCAGAACAGCGGAAGTTTGAGTGAAACCTAATGTATCCTGTCGTAGAAGAAATTCCAGCAAGTCTGGCGATGGCATTCCAAACAGGAGTTGTTATCCGATATTGCGGTAGTTGAAAGTCATTCTAAAAGATGACTCCGGTAGATTTGTTTCGGTCGAGGATCTGTAGGCTTTTCAACTGTTGAACCAGTGGACCACTGCATCTGAGACCCTCAGAAAGCTTATGGAAAAGCCCCACCAGAGGAATGCATGGTCACAGTGGTAGATTATGGTGTACTAGTGTCCGGTAATATGTAGATGAGGCGTATCTGGTAAGGGCGGGAAAGATATTGGTAGGGTGGCGGGTAATCATTTGATTTGCTTTTTTTCATGTAGTTGCGAGATTTGTAGAATTCACGTCTACACCACCTTCATCTGAACCGTTCTTATCCTGTCCTGGTGCATTCATTCTACACCAAAGGGCAAAAGCACTAGACCCGAGTTTAACCATTATTAGAGCTTACCAATGAAAGGAAGGCCTTCGCTCGATTCCAGTTGTTAATTTGAAGTGAAAAAGGGGGTTTTCACTGCTGGCGTGTTCCATGACTGCAGGTCCAGGGGCATAACCTCACTCATTGCGGGTACGCTCCGTATACTTACACGCCATCAAATATGAGGATGCAAATAACTTATACTCACAAAATCCCGCGGCATTCTCCGCTGAGCGCGCTTGCCGGGGAGAACAAACCGATCCAGAGTCAAATGTACTTTGGGATTCTAGGAACACCAACATTGTGGGTCACGTATAAATGATCGGTTGTTCGGACATCAGAGACAGGATGAGGATATGTTCAACGGAATCTCCACCAGGCCGATAGCCCACTTGTTACTCTGGAGTCAGTGCTTCACAGGTCACCACAAAGTATCCAGGACAACGAGCACTGGTGTTCAAAGTTACCGGGCCCTTCTTTAGTGAAGGCGATGGGACTAGAGTGGACCTCGATGATTTCACTCACAGATAGTTTCTGGAGTAAGTTTCGGCATGCACTTGACTTTTGATAATAGATTGTTTCAGAACAGCGGAAGTTTGAGTGAAACCTAATGTATCCTGTCGTAGAAGAAATTCCAGCAAGTCTGGCGATGGCATTCCAAACAGGAGTTGTTATCCGATATTGCGGTAGTTGAAAGTCATTCTAAAAGATGACTCCGGTAGATTTGTTTCGGTCGAGGATCTGTAGGCTTTTCAACTGTTGAACCAGTGGACCACTGCATCTGAGACCCTCAGAAAGCTTATGGAAAAGCCCCACCAGAGGAATGCATGGTCACAGTGGTAGATTATGGTGTACTAGTGTCCGGTAATATGTAGATGAGGCGTATCTGGTAAGGGCGGGAAAGATATTGGTAGGGTGGCGGGTAATCATTTGATTTGCTTTTTTTCATGTAGTTGCGAGATTTGTAGAATTCACGTCTACACCACCTTCATCTGAACCGTTCTTATCCTGTCCTGGTGCATTCATTCTACACCAAAGGGCAAAAGCACTAGACCCGAGTTTAACCATTATTAGAGCTTACCAATGAAAGGAAGGCCTTCGCTCAGGAGTTATTTACTAGAAAATGCCAACTGACCGGTTACATACTATTGGACAGGGGAGTAAAACTCTCATTTGCATCTTATTCACAAAAACTGGACATCCATCTTCTCCTGAACTCGTCTTCTTGAGCTTTCCTGGATACTCATTGACTGCAATCATTCATTGCTCAAATCCAAGAATATGCTACAAGGTGACTCCACAAATTCCGCAACAGATCTCCCGTTTTCAAGAGACACAAAGCAAATTTCCAAGAACACATACTACTTGCATGCCTCCCTATCAGTAGTATCACCATTACACCAGTAGTTCCTATCCTTGGCCGAAGCGGGGTTTGAACTCAAAACAACTAACATGCGAGGTGAGAGTATTTCCGCCAATCACATTGTTCAAGTGTGAATACGTTCGTCTGTTCAGATGTAACAATTAACAAGCGTCCAGCATGCGCTGCTGGAGAAGTGTCCAGAGTTAAAACCCCGGCACGATGTGTCTTTAAAAATATACTATCAATACGCAGTCAGAAAACAGCTGAGGTGCCTGTCGACAATGCGATCAAGGGGCTCACGGGTTCCTCAGTGGAGTCTGAATATTCAATATCCTACGGCTCCAAGGTGTATAGCATGAAAAGATACATTATAAAATGGCCTCTAGCTGGATATGAAGCATGCAGTTGCAATTTTTCGCTTCCAGCACGTGCACAGATCTCATGGGTGTAGTGTGAAACAACCGCGTTGCAGGACACCAAAGCAGTTCCAACAATCAACAAGTGAGACTTTGGAAAGTCCGACACGTTTTACACTGAGAATTAACCGAGAAATAGTTTCACTATCCGTTTTATGAAGAACCAGTGGCATTTGTTTATATTATCCGGATTACGTGCAGTATTTGTTGATCTTTACCAACACAAAGAGCGGAGTTTTGTGCTGTGTTCAACACGCCGTATGAGGATCAGTGTATACATCAGTAAACCGCTATGATCGAGATTTAGTTCTATTCGCCTTGCTTTATTCAAAATGTTACAGTTGGTTGATGTAGGGTTGCTGAGAAGCAAACGAAAACGTAATGTCCCTTCCACGTTTGCAGTTTACGTTCCATCCTGCACGTGAAGTCAACTGAAAGTCTGAAAACACTACACAGTTGTTTGACTTTTGAAGGTCCACCCCTTAGAGATCTAGAGGAGGATTCGAAGCCGCGACCTTATAGTTATCAGTTAGATATTATTTAACAAGCTGGTCGGCGTGATCAACCCGCACTAGGATAGGAAAACAAATGATTTAGTCAGGATACCCTTCTGGTGGCCCAACAATTCAACAGAGAACTGGAAGCAGATAACACTTAAAGATAAGTTTGGTGTTCACGCATGAAGTAAGAATAGCGCTAAAACAGTAAACTGCTAATTAGTATATGGACATCTTTTAGAAAGGAAAAGACGGATGTCTCTCTCTTTTGTGGTCGTTGATGGGAACCACAACTGTCGTCCAGAGGAAACAAAACATTTCGGGCTTGAAATAAAGACTAGTAAGGGCACTCACTTTCGTTCAGCCAACGTCAGACTTGTCAAATCCACGCCGAACACACGTTTCATCTGATTGACATCCGGTGGACAGTCATCTGGCACAAGATCGGAGCAGCGCTTGTGAGCCTAACGGTGGAGACAAGGAGGACAACACTAGGTGCTAGATGGATTGGCAATCAACTGCTTAGGGCATAAGCGCATGTGATAGCATACATAGAGATCTTCAAAGGCCTTCGTACACCAAGTGGTGCCGTCATTGATGCCCACACTCTTCATTCAGGTTCGTGATCGATGATGAAACGGGGCAAACGGTTAAGGATCTTCAAAACCATGGTGTTGAAATAGCTGCTAAAGAAAACTTCATCAACCCAGAATACGCAGATCGTATTGTTCTCGTCCTCGAAGAACAGAAAGAGACGTAGCAGCTGATCAAAGTCATGCGTTTTACAGCCAAAAAAAGTAGGACCAAGCTCCTGGACATGCAGTTACTGAACAAGCAACTTACAATTCAAGGAGAGGTATTCGAATTTGTGAAGCGTTTTACTTATCCTGGAATGATGAATGAGGCCAATGCACGAATCTCTCGGGTGACGTTTGCTAATTTGGGATGCATGTGGTGCAAAAGCTGTATATCCCTGAATCTCAAGGAATATGTGTATCAGGCTACAGTACTGTCTGTTTTGTTGTAGGGCTGTTAGACGTGGCCTTCTCGAGCAGCGAAACTGAGCCATCTTTCGGCCTTCGAGCAGGAACCATATAACACCAAACTTTATAACAAGGACGTAATAAATATAATAATAATCGTTCAGCTGCAACATCTTTTTGGCGCACTGCTGCCATGCCACCCGAAGAAAGAACGTGGGCTGGTATAAAGCTAGGTTGCAAAATATGGAAAGAACCGATCGAGATTCACGAAGGGGTATTCCAGCCTAATAATGAGGACGGTCCTAATTAATCGGGCGAGATGGCTTAGTGGTTGGAGTGCGAATTTACTGACCAGAACGCACGACCTCTGCCTCTCGACTTCCCTTATCTAAGCTTGAGCAACCTGGCAGTATCCCAGCCCTCGTGCTTCCTTCGGGTAGCATGGCAGCTAGGATCAAAGGGTGCTACAGGTGAACGAATCGAAACACGTTGGGTATCAGGCGAGCATTCATTTCATGTTCCAGATTAACTACCTTCAATCCGTGCTGTGACTGTATTGGATCCTCAGAGAATATGTTGTATACTCATTGTAATCTGAATTACTTGATAGGTTAAATTAATTTCGATCGAAACGTGCACGGCGGTGCGGTGGGAGAATACATTGTCAAGCCTCATGACTTATTAGTCTAGCTCAATGACACAAGTTATTTACACTGTAGTTTTTCCCCATCAGGAATAAACCGCCCATACAACTATAAACTGTGTCATCTTTGGTTCTGGGAGACCCTCCTCTCATTGAAAAAAAGCCGTGCAGATAATTGTACCCCCAGTACAAAAATCCTCGTGAGGGAGGAAGGACACGAGGAAAGCCCGTTCAAGTGCACGAATATGAACATCCCACCTACGTAAAAAACGAGTGAAATGAAAACTTAGGATGGTGTCTAGCATTATTGGTTCTGCGAGAAACAGAATCACGATATCAAAGAGTATCAAAAAATTAATGACAGCTACAAAAGCACCGGGTTTAAAACCATGATGAGGGAAATAGACAGCGAATCATACACATACTCACCTGGAAACCGCAATCTTGACACTTGACACCTTGAGCGACGAGGCCCCAGATAAAATGAGTACAAAAATCGCACCAGTTTGGACCGAGATAGGTGTGCACTTTGAAGCTATGTTTCTTTTTAACCGGTTCGCACGGTGTCACTTGATCCGCCAAGCACTCTGCCGGTAGATTGTATCGTTCCAATAGGGTTAAAACGGCTTGTTTCTTATTCCCGTTGCCCAGAGTCTCCGATGCGTTCGGAACAGTGTCTGAATCCCGAAGATTAACCGCATCAGTGGCACAAGAGGAGTCCATGTGGAAAGCTGCACCGGTTGGATTTTCCTCCTCACTGCTGAAAGTACCACTTGATATTAAAGAACTGGTTGTGTTGAAATCCTGGGAAATGGAAAATACCGTTTTCGGCGATGAAACTCGCTCACCACTGACAATCTCCGGGATGTCAAACAGCTTGCCGGCTTGTTGTGCTGAGTTTGGCACATTGTTTGGTAGTTGATATGTTGTGGTCAGCTGTAAAAAGTTGACATAAAAGGCAGACGTTGTAATTGATACGTAGAAAAAAATTCGAGGCAGAATGGAGGAGGAAATCCATTAAAAGCGGCGATATTCTCAACGTCAATGAGTAGTTTTTCACCACATGTAGTCGTAAAAACTATAAACCTAATTTAATCGCTCCAATCATTTGTTCGTCAGTGAAATCATTCAAGGTCACTGGCTGTACAACTGACAGGTGATTCGTGAGTACAAGGACGAGAGTCCCGTTTTATTCGTTAATGTTCATGACCTTGGGGGATTCGTGAGAACACATAGGCTACAAGAACATCGTCTAAACGTAATAAAATGGAAGTGCGCAACATCCTGCACCCACAATACTGGTAACACGGTAAGAGTAATTATGATCCGTACGACAAGCGGAAAAGGTGAAACTCGCCTACTACACCCTCAAAGAACACCAGATTTCGTTACAATCAGCGGATCTTATTGGCGCAACAAACGAATGATGAACAATCTAAGCAATAAACGTGGACACTAATGTTAGAACTCTTCCATTCTTCTCAACGACCACTGACACTGAGTACGCTGACAATGTTGCTCGAGAAGCCTAGATTGTTTTGAATTGTTAAAATAGCACTGCTATAGGTTCCGCACACTTCATACCAAATTCATTTATCAGAACAGGTGCATGAGCACGCTGAGTTGGAAAAACCAAGGCGGCGTTTCCTAACCCGTGACACTTGTGATACCAATGCGACATCAGTTTAGATGTGAAAAAAACAGGATAGCTCAACGCCGAAGAACTGATTAGGCCATCGTGTTCGCGAACGGCCCGAAAGCCTCAAACGTGGTCGCTCGCCAGATGCAAAAGACTTCACTACCTCCAAAGATGAAAACGACGTTATTCTAACTTTACGGATGTGTCACAACCTTATCTCAGAGTAAGAAAACACAAACGTAGACTGTACAAATTTCAAGGATAGTGTTTCTTGTGTAGGATGCCGCTTAAGTAATAATTAATTTATCAGCCATAAACCGTGTGCCATAGGCACATTGGTTCCGGCCGCTACGGTTTCGATCACCGGAAAACGGGAGTGTGGGACATACCCAAGTCTTGGAGGCGGTGGCATGGTCAGTTTGTTTGAGAACTGGGTAGCTACGCAGTGAAGGCGATAGCTTTGATGCACGAGCGCCACTGACTGCGCGACTGGGCGATTTCTGTCATGCTGGTGAGTGAGTTGAAACCAAGAAGCCAGTTACTATCAATCAGCTCCATCAAAGAGACATACTAGTATGCTTCAATGTTTTCTCGTTCGAAATGTATGTGAAATTAATTAAGCTTAATGGATAATCCTAAATTTGGTTTAACGCATGCACGATCTAGCCCGCTGTGGCATATGAACATCCGTGAGGGAGACAACAGTGTGCCCACACATAAACCAAGCAGTTCCTGACGGGCACGACAAGTGCACACAACATCTGAGAAAAGCACTCGTTGAAATGAGACAGTGTGGACAAAAAGTGGAACCACCACATAAATGATGGTGCGGAAGTGTGTCTAGGCAGCACGAAAGTGACACAGAGGGAGAAGGGTGTGTAGAATTGGAAAAATAAACGACAGCAGATGATGATTCACCTAACGGATTGAGCCAACAAGTTGAGAGGGCCGTTCACCTGCGATTAAGCGGAAAAGATGCAAAGAAAGCGGCTTACGTTATTCCACAACAGCCAAACTAGTAAACATCTGTCACTTTCAGACTTGAAATTGAGGAATTCAAACAGTGCGTTAGAATGACATGAAGTTCCATTCTTATAGGTCGCTAGGTTTTTCACACTAGACTAGGAACGAAAACAACCGAAATATTCTATCCGAATGGTCACAAGTGTATCCAGCACGTGGATATATTGGCATAGGCCGTCCCGTGATGATTTATATTGTACGCAACACGTGACTAGCGAAAGGTGAGGAACATAAACATGGCGAAGTAAATCGGAGTAGGCACAATCGGATTAGATCGGATTAAAGAAAGTTCGACACAAATGACGGTTGCACCCTAAAGTTGATTTGTCTGGCCGTATCTGACAGTTCGGTAACGGAAGGCGACTTTTAACAAGGATGGTTAATCAAAAACTGGTTACAAAGGCAAAGATCGGTTTCGATAGGTGTTCCCTGATGTTGACTAATGTCAGATCAATATGCGACATGCACCTGGCATTTGTGGCCGACCGGATCAACCAACCGGAACAAGGAGTGAATCACTCCGCGGTTTGCGTCCCACGCCAACATCCTGAAGGATCAGTTCAGGTACCAATGTCGATCTGATGATTATCACTACTCTCAAACATCAGTTAATCGCGAAAACTCCAGTAAGTGTGCCGTGTTTGGGTGAATCCAAGCCTCATTAAGACAGTGCATCCATCCATGCTCAGCTCAGCCACAATTAGGGAAATGGAGTTGTTGCACGGTCCCCGGAACACACCTAGTCTGCCTTATGTTTTCTTTTGATTTTCGTGCTGAGTTGTCTAAAGTTTAGAAGGTGTACATTACCGAACAATTTGAGCATCCACTCACATAAACGCATTTTGTGAGTCAGTGCTGAGGAAACCGATTAACCCGTTTTGCGCTAAAGGTGGCCACATGGTGTTGCCCATATGGAAAATTTTGCGAATAGTATATTCATGAAATGCCTTATCTATAGCCGCTCATACTCAGAGACACCGATGCGACTGAAGTTTGATTCGATCAGTTGTCCTTTTACTCAGCTTCGATTCACCATTTAGGGTAACTCTTGGACACCAAAACGACAGCTCATTACGACAATCCGAAATGATGCGGTGTTTTCGAAATATTATTATTATCCCTTGTTATTTATTAGTTTCTCAAATACAAATAAGATCGCGGTCACAGATAATCGCTATCACCCGAAAGCAACTAGTGCACTTCTCGAAGATAGCTGCAAGTGGCACACACCAAAACATCATAGCAGTAGACACAGGGTCCGACAGAAATATTCAATGCATCCCGTATCGGATGAAAGTTATACGGCTGAAACACACAAAAAACTACGACCGAGTGAGGTTGCGTAGACCAGACACATAGGATCGAAAGATTTTCAAAATGTACCCACTGGTTTAGCATTCCAGCCAAGATGCTAGCAGAAAATCAAAAACAGGTGCTGAGAAATTCAACTGTGCAGACTGGTAACCATTCAGATCGCAGTTCCGTCTAAAGGGAAGTTTTCATCTGCAAAATTCCACGAAGTGAACCAGCCGGTTATCATCATTCAATAAAATTCAGCTGGTTGTTCTTTGAGGGCGCGCATTAAAAATTGCCACTACTCAGTGCGGCAGTCGCCGCCTGTCACTTAGCAAGTTACACGTTCATAGCTAGATATAGCGCTGGGTAGTCGCAAATAAGCGAAAACGTCAAACACTATTTTCCGTGACCATGAAAACCTTCCGCAGGACGAAAACCAGGCGCGTGATTTTCACACTGTCAGCAAAGTCAACTGCATTTATGAACGCTGTCGTGATCCCTTGAGTCAGTCTCCCTCAGAGGGAACTGCAGATAGACTCAAAACAGAAAGCTATTCTTTCCAGTATCAAACGACGTTTGAAGTTCCGGTCGGACAGCAAAGGTAGAAAAGAAGTGGAGACACCGAACAGCAGTGACGCAGGCACTCGCTGCATTCATTGGCTCAAATGTGATCATTATGAGAGATCCTAGGCTCTCTATGTAACCCGAAAAAGGGTCAGAAAGTGAAGTGTGCAAAAACTGGGTCGCCTACCCTAACTGTCTTTATGGGTTCACTGTGTAACACTGTATGCGGAAGATCAGGATGCAGACACACTCGGTGGGTATAACAGCAAACATCTAAAAAGTGACTCACAATCACATGTCTGTTAATAATCGATAATCAGTTAGTCACACGAGCTGAAATGAGGTGAGACAAATGCAATCAGACATCGGAGAGATGCTCGCCTTGACGATAATACGACTGCGTTTATTGTGGACCGGGAACAGCGGTGACAGACTACGTTCGCAACGGCCGAGAAACAAGTTCGCTAGGTGAGATGACTGAGGTGATCTTCGATGTACAATGCATGTTTCGTAGTAGTTAGTTTCAGGTACAACTGGGCTTTGCACTGACCATATGTACATGAACGCAGTATGGTCACGTTTCACGTAGCGAGGTGAAATGGAGGCTAAGGAAATAGACCCACATAGCTTGGAAATTAAATTAGCCGAAATGGTGGCCTAACAGACGCAGTCACATGTGTGCGACAGGACCATGTAGTGTAGCCATAAAATTATTTGAGGACGCAGATACACATCATGTCAGAAAATCATTGCTGATATCGCATGAAAGTGAAGAGAACACCAATGTTTGGTATACCCAGCTGATTCAGTAGGCAGTAAATCCACATCCACAAACGACAATGGGATCGTTCTAAATTCCACGCATACTACAGGGGTCCAGCCGTAGCACCCTTTCGGTGCCTAGCTGCCATGCCACACGAAGGAGGCACGAGGGCTGGGATACTGCCAGGTTGCCCAAGCCTAAACAGAGGAAGTCGAGTGGCAGAGGTCGGGTTCGAACCACGAACCTTCCGGTCAGTAAATTCGCGCTCTAACCACTTGGTCCAGGGCTGTACCGAATCGAAGGCAACCCATTGAGTTAGCGCTAAATGAGCTGTTCCAGGGTGTGTGAAATCAGCTACGGATCAGCCAGTGCAACTCTGATGTCCACACATCCTCATTGGACAAAGTTGGCAACACAGAAAGGTGGAATGGTGTCCTTGCTGACAGTTCCTTACTAGGTTATGAGTGTATACGTATGCAGCTCATACTGCTAACTGGCAGAACCCTCCACACTCCAATTTTCAAAAAAGTTAGCATAGTTTGTGATCATTCTGCCTTTAGTATCGCCCATAAGTTCGCTTGCAACTGTGGTGGAACCTATATCAGCATAACAACATCGTTCTCAAAGGATCTTGGAACATATACCAAATCA